TTGGAATCTACATTTGCAGCCACTACAAGAGCTTCTGAAGGACAGAAGATCTCCAGCCCTATAGCCGCATTCCTTAATAAATACCGCAGCCAAACTACCGGCCTTGCTCCTCACCTACTGAGAGCCCTCACCACTTTAAGCGATGACCTTGCCTCAGTAGCCCAACAACATTTCAACGCCTATATCAGCGGTATCTCGATGACCTCCATTCCACCTGCTCTGTCCCCTTCCCCTTCCCACTTACCCCCTTCACTCCCTCCCTCACCGCCCCCCTCAGGTCTTGAACAGTCAACTTATGCGTCAACTTATGCGACTATTACCCAATATGCCCCAGTCAAATCAACTCCTACTACTCACCCTAAAGCCCCTGTTAAAAAGCCTATGCCTCTGGTGAAACAACCCCTCCCTGACAACCAGCTCTTCGTATGCCTCCCAGTTTACCATGCAGCTAGAAAAATGGAAGCCTATGCCATCTACTCTAGCCTATGGTCTTAACTAAACTTAAACAGTATAGCACTAAAAGAAGTTCAAGCTACAAAGACTGGCTTTGCATTATGTTCCTCATCACTAATATGCCAAGGAAAATTGGCTAAATCTTAGATGGCCAATACTCTCTAATCCCCCATCAATCCTACACTACTATCCTCAGAAATCAGTGAAACTACAGGGCTTAAGTCTATATCCATTAGCGAGACCGCTCTAAGTGCTGCCAACCCTAATACTCTTTCCTCAAGCTAGTTTGCTAACTTCCTAGAAAGCACGAAATTACCACTATCTATCCAGCTATGTCTTTTTAGCACTATCATTAATGCTTGTCACCTCTCTAAGAAAACAATAGTTATCTAATATACTTGATGCTAGAAATAGCATAATATATAGTCCTGTATCCGCCTCTCTTAATGCTAGCTCTATAGCTCCTTAGAGCATACTGAAGGGGGCCATATTAACCACTGCATAGCCCTGGAGCCTCATCAGTGCTCTCCTAGATATATATACTGCCATAGACTACATCTAGCTGATTTCCCAGAATGCCTCCTGCGCCCTAAAGGCAATACTAAATATACTAAAGCTGTGGGTACACTAAGGTGCATATACGTACGTACGAAGCACTTGAGTCAATCTCAATAGGTGATTCTTCGGTTCTGTGTTCTGTTGTGTCTATCTGTCTTAATGAGGCCCCGACGCGGTCTATATAGTCCTTGCTTGACGAGGTCACGTGTAAGCCATACGTGACCTCTCTAAGCTGCATACCAGTGCCAGGCATCTCGATTGCACGAAGCAACCAACAAAAGCTTAACAAGCAGAGATCTGCAAATCCTGCGTTATAAACCTTGCAAAAACTCAAACTGAAGAAGGTTGCAGCTCTCAGCTCTCTATAGACATATAAGAAACACCTATGGCATTAGACAAGATGCCATCTTAGCCTCCAACCTATGAGATTATTTCTCCTTTCTATCCAGTAACCCCTCCACCTCGCGCCCCAACTAAAGATCCTCTAATTACAGCTCATGCAGTCTGCTTTATAACCCCCCAACCGTAAAACTGGTTTACCTCTCTTCTTGAATAGGAGCTATGATCTATCACTATTCAACTTAAAAGACGCCTCTTAAAATCCTACAATTAAATATAGAGCACGCGCCAGATATATATGAAATAGCTCTTACATTAGCATATACTAGCGATATTGTGGGTGCATTTGCACTAGTACTAGTACGATAGGATTCCTAACGTGGAATATGGGTTCAATTGAGTAGTCTTAAGTTGTCCCTCTTTTCTATCTTTGACCCCGACGCGTAAGGGATTCCTGGTGTAGCCTTCGTCACGTGATTGAAATCACGTGACGTCAGTTATCCGGATCTCGACTGCATCCTCGCATCCAACACTGGATCTCTTTTACAAATCGAATTGCAGTCGAGCTCCCAACTCTCATAAAAGCATGCAAATCCCAATAACCAGGCTCCCTGTCAACAATCGTCAACCTTGTCCTAATCCTGCTTGGTCCTTTCCACAAATCCTTCCACGCGAATCGTCAACTTATTCTTGTCAATGAAGTCCCGTAGGGCCCCATTTGGGTTCGCCTTTGTGAAAGCATCCGCGGGATTATCGTCTCCATGGATCCAGCGGATTTCATCTATTTCCCATTTCTCGTATGACTGACGGAGCGCCATAAGGTCAATTATAAGGCGCTTTTCCTTTGTGGTTCCTAACTTGACGAGGCACTTATATAGCGAGTAGCTATCGGTGCAAACCACAACTGGGATTGTAGGTAAATTGAGGCGATCCGTGATCATCTTGATGGTACTTGCCAAAGTAATTCCATGGTCAAATCTAGTTGTTAACCCATAGATCTCCGAGGCGAGAACGCTCCGGGTTACACGCTTACACTTTGACGAAGCCCAATGGATTATGTTACCAGTGGCAATAAAGTGTCCTTCCTTAGAAAAGTCTTCGTTGACCATAGCGATTACAAAACCAATCTGGGAAGTCAAATCTCAGTTATTCGTGAAGGATCCATCTATAAAGATCATGATCTTTGCCTTTGTCAGATCGAGGGGGATAAATCTAAGACCTCGTTCGGGATTCTCGGCTTGCCATATGAGGCGTTTATTCAATGCCAAATAGTCGTCTTCGGATCGATCCTTCTCCTGCAGCTGGGCCGCGACGGCGAGATCATAAGAAGCCTCTGGTTGGCAGATAGATGCGAGGTAAGCCCCTCGTACCCGTTGCTCAATGTACTTTTGCGCGCAATCCATTGTTCCAACCGGCTCTATCTTTGCCGCTTGTCCTTTTTGCCGCATGAAGACGTTGTCCTACTCTAAAATAATCCTTGCGCCATTGAATTCCAAAGAAGTATCCTGCGACAATTAGATTTTGGGTTTGGCTTTGAATCCTGCTTCCTGTAGTGCTCGCTCCTCACCCCTGGCAAACTTTTCTGTTGCAATGATGAGTGTGTCATCAGTCTGCATGCCCACCAGGCTAAAGCTCTCAGCGCCTGGTTTTGTCACGAGTAGACATGGATTATACATAGAAGTCTCCATGTCCATTTTCACCTTATGATGCTCGTGGTAGGTGCTAAACCAATGGACGCCAGCTTCGGGAATGCCATACAAAGCTCCTTCTACCAACAGTAGTAAGTCTGGTGGATATTTACTCCTCATTTCTTTGGGCAGGTTGGCAATGATAATACGTTGCAACTTCGTCTTGGCCTGTGTGTACACTTATATGATATCACGGATCTCCACAACCATATCCATACTTAGCAAAGTGGGGATAAGGGATATCAACAGCCTCTGGCTAGCTTGTTAAATTGTTGGCGCTTGGGTCAGGATCCCAGCTTTCCCGGCGTCATTATATCCTTGGATGACTAGGCGTGATTTCTCATATAGGATCTCATTCTTCCCCTTGATCTCATTAACCAAGCGGGAGTTGAATATGCGGAGATCCCTGAGGTTCACATCGTCTCGGTGAACAATTTTGAATGTCCCGTTTGCAATCAGACCATCGATCTCTGCAACGCTTGAAAGTTCGAATGGGGCATCTTCTGTCACGATCTTTCCTTCTCGTCTCAATTTGAGTGCGAGTTCAAGGTCATCCTTCTCTTTCTTCGATAGGTATACGTTGACATCCGCTTTTTGCTTGTTCTTGGATCCTCGTGGTCGTCCTCGACGTCATGGAGGTGGAGGTGTCACGGGTGGTTCAGGGACATGGATTCCATCATCTGTCTCTCTTTGATCTCAGAGATACTACTAGACTGACGTTGCCCGGAAAGCGATAGCACCATTACCAAGATCAACTGTTACATCATGGCTATTTACTGAGATGAGTTTATGTGGGCCTGTCCAACCCTTGCCTTCTCGTCAAACTTTAATATTAGCCCCTGGAGGAAGGTTGAGTGTCTCTGTGATTATTGGGCCATTCCTGGTGTTTAGAGCGTCGTTGACTCTCCTCTTGGCCACAGCCTTTCTTAATTCAGCCATTGCCTTTCTTGTCGCCTGGGCACGTCTAATTGTCAACGCAGATGGCGGTGAATCCAACATCATCCGCGGATATGCCCCAAAAACTAACATGGTTGGCACAATTCTATCTGGTCCCATGGTATCGTTAATGGCCTTAACTGCCATTTGGAGAACTACATCCTTGTCAACACTAGTGCCAAGTTCTGTAGAGATAATATTGAATGCTCTACATAGTGGTGCGTGATACCGCTCGACTTTACCAATGCTGGAATGTGCTTCCACTAGTACCTGGTGGCATGTAATCCCCATCATCCTGGCTTCCATTTTGAATTCGTTTGATGCAAAATTCGTCCCGGTATCATGAGATATGACGTCCGGTGGACCAAGGTAAGTATCAATCCATGCCGCCCTGAGTGCTTCCCAAGTATCCTTTGCTGAGAGAGATTTTAAGAATCTCGCTGCCTGGAAGGAAGTTGCCCAATCTACAACGTGAAGCACCGGCTTTCCATCAAGATACATAATATCAACAACAATCTCATAATTGAACTCACAGTCGTCAGTCAATGTAAACTTGAACCGGCGGGGTGCCTGCTGATTCATCTGGTAGTGGTGACAATACTTCTCAATCTCAGCAAGGGATTTGTGGTTAACATTGTCATGACTGGCTTGCTCCAAGAGTTTATGCAATCGGTCAACACTTGGGTGACCAAATCATCGATGAAGACGTCTCATTTCCACTTCCGTTAAGAACGTTACTGGTGTATGACTATCGTCCAGAAAGAACCAAGGATGTCCCCATTTCCAGACAATTAGCACTCTCAAATCTCCCTTAACTAAGCAGTTGGTGGTATTGTCAAGATAAGCTTCGTGGCGATCTATATCAGCAATGCAAAGTAAGAATGGGGTCAGTATATTTATAACATAGAAATCGACATCGCCAATTGGGGTCTTGATAGTAACAGCTCCCTCAGAGTCGACGCTATCCCCTTGACCAAATCGAATTGAGTGCTCTCCTGCACGAGATTTGTCGACCATGATCCCTGGATAGATCTTTTGTAAAGCAGTGAGTTGACGTCTTCCAACCGTTGATACTCTCGCTGCTCCCATGTCGGGTAAGATTCTATGGAAAATCTCACTGTCATATCAGTCTATTACAAACTGAGAAGCAATGGTAGAGGGGTTATCTTGCTCAGTCTCCTCGCCTGTTATCCAGTGTAAGAACGCTTAATCTTGCAGTTATCCAACCATAAAGTACACTGTTGCTTCATCCTCGTCATTATTATTGGTTTCTTTCTCATCCTCGCTGTCCGATGTGATATTATAACTGGCTTCGAAGTCCATTAGAAACGCGCGATATGTCTTGTCCGAGACATTGGCTTTGCCCTTAGCGTGGCGATACCTGTTAAATTGCTCCCTCGCCTTACTTTGTTCCTTCTCTGAGTGGTTGTAAGATCGACAATCTGGTTTATTACATACCCAACATTGGCCGTCACTTTGTTGTTGAGAGCCATTATCTTGACAGTTTTAGCATCGCCATGATCTCTAAGGTGGCGGGCGATTCCCTCAACTGGTTTTTCCAACGTACTTCCTGTCAGTAAAGTATGTTGATGGCATGTTGTTAGATTTAGCAAGATATTGACTAGCTGCTTCCTTCTTTTGCATAATAGCAGCTTTTGCACGAAGTCGTGATACCAGTGTTTCAAACTTTATTGTTGATTCACTAAGGACCTCGCTCATTTCTGGTGATCCTTGACATGCTCTTATGATGGCTGATACAAGATGTTCAGGGGATATATAATATGGTCCCAATGCACATTGGCATAGATGCAGTTTTTCTACTAAGATTTCTACTGCTTCTGGCAGTGTCTTCCCTGTGTTCTCACAACGCACGTCGACCAGGGTGATTGACGTCCAATCCTGGTAGTAGAGAGCGTGATTTGACTCCGTGTCAAAGTAGCTCTTTATTGCCCAATACATCTGTGCAAATGATGCATCAGGATTGACGTGGTGCATGTAATAAGTTTCTGCTCTGCCAGAAAGCATCTCGGGAAAGACAGCCCAGCATTGACTCAACTGGATCTCTGTCAATCGGCATAGTTGTAAGAAGATTCGAACTTTGTCATCTAGGATATCGTAAAGATCTCCTAAATAATTCTTCGTCTTATCCCATGCTTTGGTGAACTTCATGGCCAACTGAGAATCAACAGGTTGACGTCCATATTTGTCGGGTGGCACCTTGCTGTACGGATCCAAGGATCTTGCTTAGAGTGGCACTGAAGAGGTAGGTATCGCAGACATCTTGACTTGGCTGTGACTTGGTGTCATGACTGGTATTGCATTTGCACCTATTTCAGGCATAAATCTCGAGATGTCTTGTACTAATCTTAATAGCGATTAAACATGGTCTTGAATCACCTGATTTGGCCCCTTAGAAGGTATTTCTTTATGAATACCCTCGTCTTCTTCCTCGATAGATGGCACCATGTGGGTATTATTGACAATCCTTGACTCCTTAATATAGGTAGTTGCTGTCTGTTCATGGTGTCCTGAGGCTATCTTCGACCGAGGGTGGAAAGTCCTCTTTTATAGAGCCTTCTCAGGCCATTCAAGAGGGTCTTCCATCTCCAATAATTCTATCAACGCCATTGGGATGGTCTTCCTATTCGTATGGTCAACGTACACGCCACGCCATAAAAGGAAGTCCTTCAACTTGGTTCTTGTTGTCTTATCTAGACGGTTGAAGTCCTCAATCTTCTAATCCTCAAAGAAGTCATGGAACCATTAGAACATCTCAAAGTCAATCTGGAGGCCACTTGCAGCCTCGTACATGACCCAAATTGTATACGTGGATAACTTCTTCTCATCGTCACCGGGCACGGCGTCGTAGAGCCAATTCGCCATGTTGACTCAATCTTTACCAGCTTGATTATTAAATCCAATCTCCATTATGAATTTGTCGTCTGGCAGCTCCATAGCAGGGCTAGTCTGATAACTGTTGAGTGACTGATTCTCATCTGGATTTTCTTGGTCTTGATGATTTGGATGAGACATTGGTGCTTGTTGATTTCAAAGAACTGACCAACAGGGTGTCTCTTCTTGTTAGTTTGGTGTTGTTAACTTTCGAACGCGTCAACAGCGTGGTCTCGCGATAGGGCGGTATTATGGAATGTCAGCGTTTTGACGAACTGTCCCAAATACAGTCTCTCTGGGTCTCGCTCTGAGAGGAGAGAGGCTTTTAGCACAGACTTAGTTTGTCACAGGTGACGCTGCAAAGTCCGTCTCTTCCACGTGGATTCGGTTCCTCGCGATGAGACAACACAAATCCTGGAGTCAGGCCTTACTACCTATAACCACAGGTGGCTACAGCGCAGGGGTCTGATACCTTGCCAATCTGTCTTAGTTCTGCAACCAAGACTGATCAGTGTGGGTGCATTTGCACTAGTACTAGTACGATAGGATTCCTAACGTGGAATATGGGTTCAATTGAGTAGTCTTAAGTTGTCCCTCTTTTCTATCTTTGACCCCGACGCGTAAGGGATTCCTGGTGTAGCCTTCGTCACGTGATTTCAATCACGTGACGTCAGTTATCCGGATCTCGACTGCATCCTCGCATCCAACAGATATTGATATTATCCTAATCCAAGAACCATATACATTCAAAAATCTTAGCCGACAGATCACAAAAAAATACTCATTATATAAATGCTTCTCCCCAATTGACAGTTGGGCAATAAGCGATCAACCACAAGTCCTCACCTATATCTGAAAGAAGAAAGGCATTTAGACCTCCCAGCTTCGCCCCTTCACAACTAACACTAAAGAGGCCTTGGATCTCCTTTTCCTTCAGATTTTTTTGCCCATAGGAAAGTCTGCTCTGATAGTTAACATCTATAATACCCCAGCAGGCTCCATTAGAGCAGATGAAACCACGAAAGCTCTCATAACCCTGCTAGAGGTGTATCTCCCTCAAGCAACAATACTCACAGGCGATCTTAATCTACTACACAACAGATGGTAGTCCTCACTACATCGCAGCCCCACACCTTCTGCAGAGCTATTTATTAACTGGCTAGATCTCTAGGGTCTAGTACTTATCTCTGACATAGACTGTCCCACATATAAAAGGGGTAACATGTTAGACCTCAGTTTTGCCTCAAGCCCTCTGGCACTTGCGGGAGCTAAAACTAGCATAGCGAGCCACTTAGATGCAATCTTAGATCACCAACTACTAATCATCACTGTACCCTAGGATCAGAGATACAAGGAAACAGCTCAGAAACTAAGATTTAACACACTAGACCACACCTGCTTCCTCTCGCTCCTCGCCTCTAATCTTGCTAGTATTAAGAGCTCAACCATGACAGAAGAAGACCTTGATGCTCTTGCTAAAAAACTGACATCTACAATCTAAGGAGCATATGGAGGCTCTACTAAGAGAACCCTAACACAAGGCATAGGATAACCTTAGTAGAATGAAGATTGCAAGAAAGCTTTACATAACTACTGCTCAGGCCTCTGCTTAAAGACAGACTTCCACATAGACCTCGCCACGACCCGCGGGTCACCCTGACGACCCGGACCGCGACCCGGACCACGGAGGTTCTTGGGTCGTCAGCCCCTACCCTGACCCTCCATAAGGGGAGGGTCGTTGATGGTGCGACCCAACCCTCAGGGCCATGACCCGACCCTCAGGGTAGTAAAACAATGCAAACATCATCAGGTCACGAGGTGCATAAATTCTGTAGATTTTAGCGGTATTTTTGAGTATTTTACTTACAGTATTTGTAGGTCTACTTGTTTAGCTTTAATCACCCTAAAAGCATTAAATCAAAATGAACTAAACAAATTAAACAGATGAATTAAACAAATTAAACTACATGTTCTACATCTTATATCCATCAAGCAACCTTAAACGCTTGCGAACTCTACCTGACACTCGGTACTGTGTCTCTGGCAGAGACGTAACCTCACTATCACCCTCCTAATTACTTTCTATATTCTCGGTAATATCTCTTAGGCGTCTTTTGCTAAGTGCCTTTGCAGATAGGCCTTGCAAAGTTTCTTAGGACTCTATAGAAGAAAGCCCTTCATCCTCTTCATCATCACTAATTAGATTAATGGTGATTTGTTGCTGAGTTCTCTCTTCCTTTGCAGTCTATATCTCCTAAGTTAAAAGATATTCAGAGAGCATTATTTGCTCCTCTTTATGAATCTCAAACCGTGATGTACACATATACATCATAAGATCTGAGATTGTTTAAGGCTGTAGAGAGCCTCAACGATAATGGCAGATATCTTGTGCAGAGTTGAAAAGCCACTCTACTCCTGCACCACTAGCTAGAATAGAAAGAACATCTCATGTAAGCCTCGCCATTCCAGGGAATTTATCTTGGTGATATTTCCACTAGGTTCAAGGTTGGGCATTTAGGACTGTGTCTAAAAGAGAAATTAGTAATTATTCCCATTAATATTAAGAGATGAGACACTCACTGCTGTCAAGATACCTTATAAGCTTGTTAGACTGAACTGGCTGTCAAATCTGAGATTACTGCAACTCATCTTAAACACAGGCCAAATCAAATTCATCTATTGCCGTACTTGTTAGGGGAGCATCTACTATCTGCTGCTCCTGGGCAAGATTCTCCGAGTACTTCTCAAGAGAGGACTCAAGGCTCTGGCGATAGATTGCTTGGTAATCAATTCCGCCTTCCTCTGGGTCCCAGTCTGCGGTTAAGAAGAACTGAAGTTTATCCTGTGGAGAAAGAATGGTGCTAATAGCGTAGAGATGACCATCTATGTTGTTAGTATCTTTGTAGTAGATTAAGAGCTTATTTTTTGTCACTTCAAGAGATGCAAGCATCACCTACTTCTAAGCGACCCTCTTCCGTCTAAGCTGTCTAATCGACTTTTCTAGGTGGTCAAACAGCTTATTGTAGACCTTAAAGACCCAATGGATGGTAACATCCTTGGACTTCGAGAGAAGGGTCGTGAATCAGTGAAAAGGCTGGAGAATGTAGATAAGATAGTCCACTTGCCGCCACTGCTCTACTAAGAGCAGAACACATCGAAGGTCTGCTGGAATTTCTTTGCGCGTACAAGCATTAAGAACGTGGAGTTCCACTAAGTAGTAACATTCTAGATTGGCACAAGCTTTGGCTCCTTGGTTTGCAAGTTGTAGAATGACTCTCGGCGCTGAGGACTCGCGTTGATATAAATCGCAAGGCTTCAAACCTAAGAAACAGATTAGGATAATGAATGAGAATAAAAGCCATGATGTCGCACCTTATTCAAAGTGTCCACGATCTCGCGTTTCTGCTGCCTCGCACGAAGACTATCCACCCGATCATCAGACTATATCTACTTAGCTATATCAATCTTTAGAGCAGCCTTCATCTTCCCAAGGAGATCTTTAAGACTTAGCTGGATCATATGTGCAATACAGGGTACCTAAATGATAACAATATTGTTCAAAGATTGTAGTGACTCAATTGCCTCGTGGACACTTGCTATGAGACTAATATTATTTAAAGCGTTATTAGTGGTTACTGCAAGCACTCGATCTGTGATCTAATACTCCTATAGCAGCTTGAGGAGCACTACACTCAAATTTGCACTGGAATGAGATCTATGTAAGTGTTTAAATCCTAGTAATATCTCATAATATTCCCAGTTCTTGTTGAGAAAGTATCCTGTAATCGCCATAAATGCCTATCGGAATAGAGATATCCAGCAATCTAGGGCAAGTGATAGCTTCACACTAGAAGGGAGTTTCTAAAAGATACTCTTTTAGTTCTCATGGACAAGGTCTTGAAGCTGCCAGCGCATAACCTTAGTAGAAGGAATTTCTGGCATTAATAGTGCTAGCCAGGCGTAGGAGATTAAATCACGGAACTCAGTATGCTCAAGAAAAAGAAAGGAAAGATATAATATAGTAAGGAGCTGAGCAAGCTTCTGCTGCTAAACTCGCTCATTAAATCTTTGTACCGTTGCATTCTGCGTTTAGATGTCGAGGTCAGAACTGGGATGCTCATTGCTCAATATTAAAGTTAGGTCTCAAACATACCGCATACTCTAATATAAGCTTGATGTTTGGTTTCTTTCCTATAGCTGAGGCAACTCTCCAGCAATTTATCCCATTGTAATGCTTATTTATTGAAGATATCCCTAAGTAAGCTGACATAGAGTGATCAAGTACCTTCTGATATTAATGGCATATCACCCCAGGCTTTCCATCTTTTTCAAACACTATTTAATCAAAATTTTTCTAGCAGTTTGCAGCTTATTTCGCATCCCAAGATATCTATCTCTTTTTCCCAAAATCGGTCTGAAGCCACTACTGCATGAATTTGTTGCCCATTTCTGAGGAGTACATGATGAATGATCTGATCTAGTCTAGGCAAATTCAATGAAGATAATTAGGTGCTGCTCGAAGCTCAGACGATAGAAGAGAGGTATCTTGATTTCTAGATGGGATAGGGGAGTAGAGCTGATTTAGACCTGGACCATCATCAGCACTGTATTTGTGATGGACGCTCAAGGCCCAGAAACAACTTCATTTCTAAGCGTAGCAGTATCGACGAAGAAAACTAAGTGTGAAGAAGAAGAAGAAAGGGGAAAACTGGCGCTGAGCCTTGAGGCTCTCCAAATACACTCTGTCATGGGATGGAGGCCTTATGGGGAAAGCGGTCTAAAAAGGCAGAATTGTAAGATCCTATCAACCAACTTGTTTGTAACTTAGGCCTTCCCTTCCTCTTCTCCCAAGCTTAGGATTATCATTAGAATAGGCTTATTGAGACGTCACATCACCCCCCTTCGAAAGAAGCGCTTGCCCCTAAGCGCTACACCAAATCGTCGTCATCCTCATCTGGGAGGAATTCATCTCGGTCAGCGGCATCGAGCCATTCCTGTAAACGACGTGGCGGTCCTGGCTTGTCTGGATATGCGGCATGGAACTCACGGAGCTTCGCTGGCGCATTCTTGAAATTCCGCGCAGGATACCACTGAGGATCAGGGTCGTAGCCGATCCAGGCCACGCGATAGTTGAGCTTCCTGTAACGAATTTTCGAATCCAAGACCTTGTCGACTTCCCATTCGTGCTCTCCATTCACCTCCACAGGTGGAGAGGGATCGCGAAGTTGCCCCTCCAGCGGTTTTGTGCGTGATGCTAAACGCAATTTATCGGGTGAGAAAACCGGGTGAACATTGATGCCAGGTGGTAAGTCAAGCCGATAAGAATGACCGACTTTCTCTTTCACACGGTATGGTCCACTCCATTGCATGGCCAGCTTCCGACCGGGTACATTCAGATTCCAATTTCTTGTTGTAACCATGACCTCATCTCCAACGTCAAAATCAACTTCACGCCGACGGCGGTTCGCTTGTGCTTGCTGACGTTCCTGTGCAAGCTGAAGCTGTTGCTTCGCATATTTCCAAATCTCAGCAAATCTAGTCATCCATCGCTGAGCGTCCCTCTGATTAATGGTCAATCGTCCTGGCTGCGCCGGGCCCGACCAATCGAAAGAAGTTCTTGGTTGATATCCTCGCTCAATCATGAAAGGGGACAAATTCGTCGATTCCTGGGGAAGGGTGGCCGCAGCGTAATCCATAATAGGCAACCATTCCGACCAGTCATCCTGATGATGATTAACGTACGGTCGAAGCCTTTGCGTAAGGTATTGATTCGCGATTTCGGTCTGGCCGTCAGTGGGAGCGTGGTCCGCTGTCGATAACTTGATCGTGACACCCAGAATCCTACAAACCTCTTGCCAAAATTCCGACACAAACTGGGGACCTCTATCCGACACAATAGAGTCCGGTAGTCCTGCCCATGGAAGAACAAACCGTATGAAAAGCCGAGCCATCTCTTTGGCCGTTACTGTCTTGTGGCATGGAATTGATACTGGTCGCTTCCCCAATCTATCGACCACAACAAATACCGCATCGTAGCCGTGTTTATCCTTCGGGTATGACATAAAGTCCATTGATATGTGTTGCCATGGCCGTTCAGGTATGGGCAACGGCTTGAGTAATCCTGGAGGCAAATCACGGCGGGTGTTCATTCGCTTACATGTCATGCAATTGTCAACATACCGGTTCACATCCTGGGACCAAGAAGGCCAGTAATACCGCTCTTTCACCAACCTGGTCATCTTGCCTTTACCAGCGTGAGCTGTTGATGGTTGTTGATGAATCTCATCCAATAGGCGCGCCTGAAGGTCTCCTACAGCCGGCACGAACAGCCTATCTCGGAAAAACAGACGGCCTCCAAGCAGGTTCCAATCGTCGTCCCCTTCTCGGGCCCTTTGCCGATATGACTCCGCTTCCTCAGCAGTTAAATTCGCAGTAACCACTCTTGACATGATATCGATTGAAGAGTCGATTTCTCCTACGAGCCCCAGATCGGCCTTTACTGCTGAATCAAGAAAATCTTCAGTTAATATTGTTCGCTCACGATAGCCTTCATCCTTTGGCGCTCCGTCTCGACGGGTTAGCGTGTCCGCCGCGACATTGGCCTTTCCTGGCCGGAACCTCAAGACGAAGTAGTAATCAGTGAGGAACTCACACCAACGAGCTTGTCGGGCGTTGAGCTTTTTAGTCGTCATAAAATACTCCAAAGCTCGGTGATCAGAAAGTATCTCAAACCGGTCCTCCCGCTGTAGCCCCACCAGCTCAGGTCGCCACTCCTCAAGAGCGCGGACGATAGCTAGCATCTCTTTGTCGTGGATATCATAATTCCTTTCTGAAGGCGTCATCGTACGTGAGAAATAAGCCACCGGGTGCCATAGTCCCTCCTCGTGCAACTGAGACAAGATCCCTGCGATCACTCCATCCGACGCGTCGGTCTCTACACGTGTAGGGAGATTTGGCTGATAATGACTCAACACCGGTGCTGTTGATAAACAGAGCTTGAGCTTGTCAAAAGCCTCTTGGCAGTTTTTCGTCCATTCGAACGGCACGTTATTGTGAGTCAGGCGGTATAGCGGCTTGGCTATTCGGCTATAGTCCTTGATGAATCGACGGTAAAAGTTGCAAAATCCTAGGAACGACTGGATTCCAAACACAGTAGTTGGCACGCCCCATCTGAGAATAGCTTCGATCTTTGAAGGGTCGACTTCGATTCCATGTTCCGTAACGATAAACCCTAAATAACGTGTCTTCGTGACGTGGAACTCACATTTGTGGATTGCTGCCTGCAAACCGGCGTTTCGCAGTCTCTGGAGAACCTGCCTAACATGAAGCTCGTGCTCCAGTTCATTATCACTATAGATTAGTAAGTCGTCCACAAACGCGACGAGGAACTTATCAAGACAGTCCATGAAAATATCATTAATTAGCCGCTGGAATGTAGCTGGTCCATTTGTAACGCCAAACGGCATAACCTTGTACTTATACGTCCCATACCGACATCGGAAAGTTGTCAAGTC